GAGACTTGCCACGGTCTCCAACCCTCCTCCTTTCTCATCCGGGCTTGGGACCGGTCATGGCGGAGTTTTCTTTCTTTTACTTACGAGATAAAACAGAATAACGCACCTCATTTCCTTAATTTAAATCATCAAGAATTTTAGTCAGAAATTTTCTGGGTTAAATGTTTCTAAGATCTACCACAGGGAGTCACTTGGAGAAATGAATCAACGTTTTCGTTTCTCAGTCATTTCGATGTAGTGTCCGTTCTTTTGAGATCTTCCCATTTTGCTGAATGTTCTACCAGCAGCTGCCTGCCGGTATGGCTTTGAAATTCGCATTTGTTTTGCAGAATTCGCACGAAGTCAAACTGTCTGCTTGAAATAATTCGATCAATTTGGTTGGGTATTCTAATCATTTTTGCATTAACATCTCGCGCTAAATCTTCTTTCCTCACGCCTAAAATTTATCTTGCGATCATCATTTTCATCGCCTTCATCATTCTGTTTACAGCTATGTTCAATATCTTATACATGGCACAAAAAATATTTCCAGCAATGACTAGATGCTAGGTCTTAATACGAACGCACATTGTCTCTTAACATCACCTGTCACTTGTCCATTGGCAAATGAAGCACTTCCCAGAGAGACTGCTTTCATTTTTGTGGTCATGAGTTTTTACTGATATTTAATTTGAACCTGCTATATTAGAAATATCAGTTTTAATTATTACCAGGAACGGACAAATTCCGCAATCAACGAATGGTTTATAGAATAATCGAGTTTAAGGCAAAGGAATTTAAATCTAGCATCAACCAAGAGAATTATGGTTTCATGCTCTTACCGTATAGTTTTTATGAAAACGAGTGCTGCCTGCGTACGAAATATGGCAGATCTGTCGAAAGCTGCGCCTGTAACTCACTTTAGGTCAGCAAATTTTCAAATTAATTTGATGGAAACAAAATTCGCACAAAGCGCCAAATACTTCATATTCTGGATTAACTGACAAAACTCAGTTTCAGCGATATCGCCCGTTAGAGTAACAGATTTGTGCACATTTTCAGATTTACTCGGCGTTACTGCACTCTCCCTTGCTTTAAGGAATCTAAAGCAAGCCATAATTATATGGCATTATGAACGCATTTAAACTTGAAGTGAATCGTACATTATTTTAACTGGCTCCATCAGAAAAACGTTAGTAAAATAACAACATAATGAGTATTTCTGATTATATACCAGCATATAGACGTATTTTAGCTTGTCTGAAGATGCCGTGCCGGCTAACATAGTCTCACAATTTAGCGTTCGTGCACTGTAGGTGTTAAAATAACATGGAAATCTGGCTCATCTGAAATTTTCTGAACGTAGAAATAAAAGGACGGCGAGATGATGCGGCGGTTGTATTAACCAATATGAATTTGAAAACCTCTTCAAATATTATATAATAAACCACCCCCCCCCCTTTATGACGCAGTTTAAACCCACAGGAGATCAGTTTAAATCTTATAAGCATACATGAAAAACGACCCTACCCAGGGAGGGCATATGAGCTTGAAATTGGAATCGAAAACTTTACACACCTTATTTCAATTATGACAGACAATGTCAGTATAGTTAGCTATGCCTATCCAGTCAAATTTAGCCTTAAAGGAAGAAAATCACAATCGAATTGTCATCGGGACTCGCAATGGTGTTACTTCTAATGCATGAATGCAACACACAGTACAAAGAACTTTTACTATAAAACA